GGTACAGGATGACGCGTTTTACTAATTTGGTGACTAATGTTTATGTAGTCATTGGGGGACTCATTATTTAATCATCTTGAAGTTGTTAAATACAATGATTGTCATATAGTGCAATTAGTAATTATTGGTACGATTATGTGGTGGTGTAGCTACGTACTAGATAGCAAGTGTTCGGTCTATCAGGGACGTGTAGATTAGAGTTGAGATGGATTGAGAGATGGATGGAATTTCTTGTTTGGGGTTTAGTGTGTCCCTTAGAGGATGAGTTGGGTCGGACGTTGTTATGTCCGGTGGTCTGGCGACCATTCATTTCTCGAATTTTGGAACCTTTTATGACTGTGCAGAGTAAACTGATGTTCGTTTTGAGTTAGGCGTAGAGCCTAATTGGTCTTATGTCATAATAAGGTGAGAGATGGGTACCGTATTTGGTTTTAATGACAGTCGTATATGATTGCCTGGTGACGTCCGGTGTCAAAGGCAATAAAGTTGGTGAATTCATGGTCTTAGGTTTTGTGAGGTTTATCAGGAAGGTGTGTGGCTATGAGCTTCCTTAAAGGAGGCTCTTTTTCACCATTTTCTTTTTCTTTTTTCGGAATTTTTGTTGTTGCAAGGGGATTTTTGTTTTTTGTCGTTTTGCGTTCCGGACACTACGGAGTGCGCCGGTTGTGTCCAAGAGATTGTTTGGGACATTTCATAGAGTTCAAGATTCTTTGAAATGCAAGGGTGACCATTTTCATATTTTTCAGTTTTTCGTGCCGGACGATCCCGTGTGGGACCCGCTACCGGAATTGTTGCTTACGGGGAATTTAGTTGGGTCCAATTGCATTCCATGCATTTTATTTAATGTGTTGCATGTGGGTTTTATATGGTTATGTGTATATATTTTTGTGGTGTAAATTAAAGGTAAAAGAAAGAAAAAATTATTAAATAAAAAAAAAGTGGACCCACCTTAGTCTTTTAAAATGGATTAGAGACCACATATGGTTTCATCTCTCACACACACCCGTATCCCTCTCTCTCGCCCCCTTCATTCTGTTTTTTCTTTTTCTTTTTCAATCAAATTTTTAAAGTTTAATTTCTCCTTCAATCTTTGGAATTTTTAAATGCCGTTTGCGGCAAATTGAATCCCACGACGAGATCTTCAAATCCATACCAGCAATTTCAGCTTTTGGCCACTCTAGGAAGTCCAAAAATTGAGACCCATTTTGAGGATTTTTGCATAATCTTGAGGTAGGGGTTCTTAATCCACAACTTCTTGCTCCTTTGTGAGATTTTCTATGCGTTTTGTTATATAGCATGCTTAATTGTGTTGAATCCTTCTTTAAATGACTGAATTGTGTATTTAAAGCATGCAATTATGTGAATTAATTAATGTGGTATGTAAAAGCATGTTTTAATTTTATAAAAAATTGTTTATGCTTATATGAGTTTTGTGTATGTAATATGATAATTGTATATCATGTAATAATTAACCATATGTGTATTACCTATTTGGATTATATAAGATGACATGCTTAAGTTGAATTTATATACTTGAATTTTATGTGAAGCTACATGTTCCTATGTGTTATTAAATGTATGTGACATGTTGTTGATTACTGGGTTGAAAAAAAAAAAAAAAAATGCTCTAGGTGATTTTATTCCATACCTTATGTATTTAAATTACCGTAATTAAAATCTGAAAGCAAGGTACATGTATTACACAAATTTCTCTTAAGTGTGATATGTGGTTTAAACGTGAATATGTGAAGAATTATGTTATGGAAAAGCATGATGCATTTATGCATAGCATTGGGCAAGAAAAATGAGAAAGAAATGTTTTGAAATGAAAAAGGGGTGTTGGGAAAAAGATTTGAGAAAAGAATTTTGTGAAAACCCGGACGCCAAGGGGGTACTGAGGGTCCGTGGCATTAATGTGGCCTAGAGGGAACTAGGGAGATCACCCTAGCGTGGTTAAGCTATCTTGGCCCCAAATGAAGCCGCTGAGGTACCAAGGGTCAGGGACTGTAGCAAATCCTTCTCTCGTCGCTGAGGGGTTACCGAAGGGGTTTACATTAACGGTTTGAAAAGTGAAGAATGGAAGTGATTTTAAGTATGGGGAGCGACATTCATGACATCACATATCATGGCACGACATTGTTATTATGAAATTGGATTTGATGTTGTATTCTTTCCCGACATAGTATGATCCATATTATCTATTTTTATTCATTACTTGGATTCAGGGGTCATAAGAAGTGTATCTTAGGCACCACCTACTGAGTAATTTGCTCACCCTTATATTTAATATTTTTTAGGACACGGATGGCAAGTGGCGAAAGACGCTCCTCCACAGAGTTTAATGGGTTAGTAGACCGTTTTGACATACTTTGTAACTATAATCTCATTTTATTATTTATTTATTTATTATTATTTATTATTTTTATAAATTCGGAATGACACGTATAATATGTATTGACGTAGGAAAGAATGATGTTGTCTCTACTTGATCTCGGGTTTGGTTAAGGACCCGGCTAACGGTTCAGACTTATGGGTTCGGGTCGTTACAGGTTGGGATAGTGTACTTGTGTGTAGGATGAGATAAATGGATTGGTTCAGGAGGAGTCATGACATAAGCATTGATTGCATTCATATTTTTGTGATGGGCTTGTGTGCATGTAGTTAAATTAGTACTTATATATTGTTTGTAATGCCATAGTTAGTTGATTTCGTTATTTTCCCATAATAACATGATTCTCCTATCTTTTTCTCTCTTTCCTTATGTGTTTACTCACGGGTCTTTAGGAGCCATGTTTTAGGCATACTTTACTAAGCAGTGGTGCTCACCCCTTATTTTAAACATTTTCAGGTTTTAGAATCGAGATTGAGGATGAGATGTTCTTACGAGCTTAGACATAGGCATGGAGTTCATTTTGCTCATGTTTTGTAACCTTGACTATTTTTGTAACGCATGGCATGAATTTGCATTATTTTGTAATCATGTCAAGGAAATGTAAAACCATTGCTTTTTTGATTTATATTGTCAAGCATGTTTTTATTTTGAGTAAATAGAAATGAATGTTTCAAATGATGAAGGGTAAAGTGCATATAATTTTCTTCCTCAAATCAGCCACTTCTCAGAATTCTCAATTTAATTATTACATATATTATGTAAGGGTAAAGTGCACTAAAAAAGAACCCTTATTATACATAAAATGTCCAAAAAAATTCTCATGTGTTCAAAAAATTCTTCTATATTTTTTAAATTGAGCAGATAAGGATATTTTTCATTTTGAAGACTAAAATATTTAAAATATCCTTAAAACAAAATAATAATAAAATAAAAAATACTTATATGCACAATTTTATTAAGAGTATTTTGGAATATATATATATATATATATAATGCCCTAAATCAATTTCTTTTAGACTTTGTAAATTGTAATTTATTGACTCTCTTACATGTTAATTGCATGTATAATTAAATCAATATCTATTAAGCTAGAAACTTGAATAGTGTTTTTGTATTTTATTTACCTTATTACAAATTAAATAGAAAGAGTAATTTCTAAACAAACATTATTAGTGATTTTGCTTTAAGCCGCAAGGTGCCCCCACATTCGTTTTGTCAAGTATGCAGTAAAAGTTTGTTGTCAAAGTCATGCAATATTTCATGAATGGACTAGTTTTCCAATAATTTATAAAAATTCATCCTACATCCTAATTTTTCAAATCTTCCACCATTGCGGCGTGATGAGAAACATAACTCTAAATCTGAATTTGGCCATATATTTTCAATTGTTATTTCCTCGAATAAGATAAGGAAGGGGACTTAATTCGAATGATATGATATCTCTTTTTCAAGTTGGAATAATGTTTGATGGAAGAAAATTATAATGTTTGTGTAGAAGAATGGCAGAGAGAGGTAGGTTGAATTTGGGGGTTGGGAGGTAGATATGGGTGTAGAGGAAGGTGGGTATTATATTAATGTTTGGAGTAGCGCTAAACATAGTCGCGTAATATTTGATTGGTTGAAAAATCTAATTATAGAAGATGTAATTAATGTCACTTTCTTTTTTTTTTTTAAACTATAAAACTTTAACATTTAAGACAAAATTATCCTTTTATATTTTTTGTTTTTGTATATCCTACTTGTATGTGTGTGTATATACTTACCTACCTTATTCTTTTCTCTCGCTTTTTTTTCAATTGTTATTAACTATATATATACACACACACACATGCTCACTGTGTGAAAATTCTCCCTCTTCTTTAGATAAAGAGAGAGAAAAAATTATGTGATGTGAATTGATTGCTTCTTTCTTTTCTTTTTCTTTTTTTTCAATTCTTTCATTTTTTAGGAAACCATACTTCTCTTATTTCATATATTAACTAAAACTCAAATTTTATAATATTACTTCAATTAAAATTCAATCTCATACCATTATTTCAATTACGTAAAATCCACTAAAAAATCCATCAAGGTGGAACATATATATATATATATATATATATATATATATAAAAGACAAGTGAACAAAAAAAGAAAGAAAGTAAAGAACAAAGAAAAACTATATATATCCAATCAGGAGAGAAAGACAAAAAAAAATAAAGACAATTGTTAAAAAAAGAAGGTTATTAGGAATAAAGAAAGAGGAAATAATTTAAAAAGATAATTTGGTCTTAAGGTTGAAGTTTTATAATTCCAAAAAAATAGGAAAGAGACATTAATCACAACTTATTTTTTAACCAATCAAATACGCGATTGTGAATAGCACTCCTAATGTTTGATGGAAGAAAATTTTTAAAATTGCCTACTGTACCATGATTCTGCTGAGCACTTGACCAGAGGGCACCTTAAGACAATTTGGGAGAAAGAATGACCTCTTCTACTTTTTCACTTTCTTCAAATATGTTCTGTGGAATTTTCTTTGGAGAAAATAAAGTTCCAAAGGACCACTCAGAAATTAAAGTATCTTTTTCAAGACACGAAAATGAATTTGACAATCAAACAACAGAAATTATAAACAAGTCATCGCAACTGACAACATGAATATGATGATTAAATAAGAATGTAGGCAAAAATAAATGGAACAACTTCACAAATATGTCGAAAAATAAATGAAACAACTTCACAAATATGTCGATTAAATAAGCACACTGCTATTAAAGTGCTTATAATATTCTCAAACATCCTATACACAAAAATTAGAACCACTTCTTCAAGATGATCATATCAGAATGCTGAGAGGAAGTGACTGATTTGGAGTAATTCCTTATCGTCGTTGGAAATTGAACGCCTTAATGGCTAAAGCAAAGATGAAAGCGAAAAGAACTGCAAGACCAACTATCACGCCCGCTACTGCACCTAAGAAGTCATGTTTGAATCCGTAGTATCTATCCAAGTATTGTTCCACTGTTTCTAATTCAACTGTGCCTGTATCGATTGGATCCTTTATATCTCCAAACTGCGACGCAACCAATCCATACAAGGTCCAAGCAACGGGACATGCCCAATAGTACCATCTCCACCATATAGGAATCCTCTGTTATTGGCAAGGAAAATGAGACTAGTTAGTGTCTTGTTCTCACTACTTGTATATTTATGTATCACAAAGAATATCACAAAGAAAAATGAGATTGCCAGAACTTACAGGTCGCGGGATTATAAACCCTGAAAAGAGGTTCCACAATCCATAAAATGCAGCAGCAATGATGGCAGCGACGTGTTGGTTTGGAGTTACAGCCACAGTCATCATGCCATAGTAGGTGAAGTACAATAGCGTGAAGTACATGAAGAACAAGTACCAAAAGAATTTGACAACTGTCCATTCAAATCCAATCATTGCATAAACTATAAGACCATATACCACAGCTTGTGAAAATATATAAGGAAGCTCAATAAGAACCTGCAAGGGAAGAAGAAACTTCATTAACAAACATGAGCATAAGTTTAATACATGCGTTTATGGCAAGAGAAATATTGTCACCTGAGCAAAGGCGTATGGTAATGCTGAGTACATTCCAGCAGCTCTTTCTCTGTAAAAGACTGTTCGTTCAACAGCCACCACTGGCTGCACCGATGAGGCATTTTGGATCCCTAGGAAGAGAACGGCAGCATACATAGAACCCATAGCATTGGTCAGATCTTGTGTCCTTGACCTGAAATGTACAACATTGAAATTAGATTAAAATGGAGATAAGAGGAGTTTGAAGTTGTAAAACCGAGTATCGATTCTCTATTTTTGGCTCACCTTTTGGATCCAAGGTCCCAGAAAATTGTCCCAAACATCAATGCTATGAAGGTTGTGAAGAGAAATCTCACTGCAGTATATGGTGGGTTGCGCCAGTATGACCAATGTTGTTTCCACAGGCAAGCCATACATTGGACGAAGAAAGGCTGTGAATATTGAGTGGGAAAATAAAGGTCCTTAGAACCAGGACGAGGGGTGCTTAATTCTTTGATCAGGGCTTTGTTCCTCCTGAAATGTGTAGTTCATACATCAGAAGAAGATCTAACCACGAATTTGATATGTATAAAAAGGCTATTCAAACTTTCTTCAAAAAGTAGCATCGTGCATATTTATATTAGCCAAACCTGTACAATTCTGAATTTTTGTAGACTTCCGTGAAATCGATCCCCAGAACTGTTTCCTGTGCTGAAGCAGTAACTTCCAACATCCAAGTTGCTGGATTATAACCATCTTTAATTTTACTTACTCCCTCAACTCCCTAATTAAAGAGTATGTCACTTGTCAGCAAGTTACTTATAAACAATTAGGGCTATTAGTTTAATGTATTACTGCTTGCAGTTACGGATTCTTCATTTCATCTCACCTCAAAGTACTTGATTAGATGGCGAGAATGGTGACCCAATGGCCCCACATATATCTCTTGTCCTCCTCGCTTCATTAGGAAAAGCTGAAATCCAATGATTTATATTTCAATAGCAGCTTATAAATTGAAGGAAATTCATAGCGAATGCTAACTGTTATAGTAAAGTAACAGTTCTTACCTCATCAAAGGCTTCAAATATGTCAATGCTTGGCTGATGGATGGTGCATACAACTGTTCTTCCCGTGTCTACAGTGTTCCTGACTGTTCTCATCACAATTGCAGCAGCTCTTGCATCCAGCCCTGATGTTGGCTCATCCATAAATATTATGGAGGGGTTTGCCACCAGCTCAACTGCGATGGTTAGTCTCTTGCGCTGCTCGGTTGACAGACCATTCACACCTGGCAAACCAACTAGTGCTCCCTTTAATGGGGCTAGTTCCACAAGTTCCATGACCTCGTCTACGAACATCTGCAAAAATTGTTACGATTAGATTTACATGAGTGATTTTTTGTTCATCCATTCTTCACAACCTGGAACTTTTGCAAGGTTATTGATTGGCGCTTTTAGGATGAAATCAAGAGATGACTGCTCCTGATAATGTTTCAGTGACATAAGAAACATATTTTGTAAATTTTTTTTTTTTTTTAAAAAAAATGAAAAGAAAAGAAGGCACCTTCAGTGCAACTTAACTGCTAAAAGATTTGAGCAATTTTTAGCATGAATTTTTATTTCTTCATTTTCTTAGATTATGAGTGATTCAGTAAGTAAATGGATGGCTTTAGCAACATCATATGTGGTAATTGAGAAAAGATACTGTCAGTTCATCAACTGGTACACCAACGAAAATGCTCCAACGCTCAGTAATGCCCACGATTTCTTAAACTTTGATCACTAGTGGACAGGCAAAGCAGACAAAAAGTCCAAATTAATTTTTTTTAGTATAGAGCAGCAGAAGTTGCACGAGTTGGCAGGACTTGGGGTTAAATTCAAGTTTATTTTCGACCAACATTAGACTTCTGACTTATTTTTAAATTCAAATATCAAACAAATCTCAAAATAGAAAATTCTTCAGATATGCCAACCTTTCTTGTTTCAGAATTGACATCTGTAGATAACCGCAGCCAAGCTGAGTAAATCAATGACTCATGGATAGTAACATGAGGAGAGTGAATGTCGTTTTGCTCGCAGTACCCAGAAATCCGAGCGAATGTCTCTTGTCTTTTTGGATGCCCAGAAATTGTAATATTTCCATCAATGTATCCGCCAGTTTTCCTGCCAGCCAGCACATCCATCAGAGTTGTTTTACCGGCACCACTAACACCCATTAGTGCTGTGAGAACCCCAGGCCTGAAAGCTCCACTAACATTGTTTAGAAGCACCAATTTGTCTTCAGGGGCACCCTGATTTTTCATTTCCTGCAAATCACATTTAAGCAATTAGTGTCATGTTTTTTTTGGCTGTTTTTATAAGAAAAAGTAAATATCTCAAGTAATAACATACAACACGTCAGTTAAGCTTTTAGTTACCTGTGGCATGTCGACAGAGTATTTGATTTCATCAAAGGTGATGGAAAGTTGTTCGAATGGAAGGATCATTCCTCTTTTTCTGTTCTGATTGGCCTCGACAATGGCATCAGTCGTCCGGGATGAGGAGCCAGATGAGATACTTCTCCTCCTAATTTGATCTCTCTCTGCTTTTAATTCAAATCTTATTAGAACATAAATAATATAGATTTCAGAGTATGAATAGCATAAAGTAAAACAATCTTAACATAAAAGCCTCATCACCTTCAGATGCAGTTCGGCCAACAGAGATGTTCCCTCGGGATGATAACTGAATGGCTCGTCTGCTTTGATCACCTTCAGCATTGCTTTGATCTTCGTCTGGTATAACAGCTTGAGGCTTCTCAAAAGCTGCACAATTTTAAAATATGCTGTTAGTGAACTCACAGCTTTAAAAGTCTTGAAGCGCAAAAGTAGAAATCACTTACGGTCTAGATAAGCAAGAGCCAGAGCGAAACAGAAGTTTAATAACACGACAAATCCAAACAATGCCCCTGCTCCGAGCCAGTACCAGTATGCATCAGGAAAGAACCCTCGAGACTTCATAACCGTGACTCCTAGTGTCTCTGTAGCATTTGGGAGCATCTTTGACATGGAAGTTCAAACATCAGCTTATTTCGATCGAGACACAAGCATAAATTGAGCTTGCAAGGACAGAATATGCATAAACTTACCTTTTTCCAACTATTGCCACGGAATTCATTTACTAAAATTGCATTCTGCCCATACATCAATGGTGACATCCAATAACCCCATATCCACCAACCCTTCACATCATCTATCGCATCAAATAAAGTAGAGAGAAGCATTATCCAATGTTTCAAGTATGAAAATAAATTGTTCTAAAATCTAATTTTCGAATTTTATACCTCTTGATAGGATAAAGCCACCCAGTGCAAAAAGTGTGAGCAATGCAAATGTTCCAAATGTATTTGCCACAATCATGTTCCTGCCTGTTGCCGCAATAGTTCGGAACAATCCAGAAGCTGTCTGACTGATAAGTAAGAGGAGCAGGTACTGTTTAAACAATCTGCATAGAGGACATTAGAATTTTTATCATTTGGAGCAAAATAAACTTGTAAAACAAATCTAACAAGTTTTTGAGATATTCTTTTTCTCTTAGATTCTTACCTGCTAACATTTGGATCATACCCGATGACATAGTAAGTTATAAACACCCAAACAGCAACCTCTATGAATGTAATGGGGATCTTGAGGATCCATGTGGGAAGAGCATATGCCCATGGGGGATAAAAGAGAAGGTCCCTTTGCTTGTAGAAGATAGGAAGCTTCGCAATAGTCATGGCAAGCTCTGAAAATCCATTAAACATAACCATAATAACAGTAAAAAACATAGCACCAAGGTAAATCCCTCCATCAGTTACACTATCCTTGTGCATCTCAGTTCGAAAGAAGACTGTCATTGCAATAAATGCCATCATAGTAAGCTACAGGGAGAAATAAAAGTTCTTGTTAGTATTTACACACAAAAAATTGAGACCAAAATCATAAATTTATATGTAGCAATACTTACTTGTGTGATCTTGAATATATAGACAAATGAGTTTCTCTTCATCAACAAGTATTCTCTTGAGCTGCACGCTTTCAGGAGCTCTTTCTTGCTAACACCATACTTACTAGTTGTCAAAGAAGCTGGGTGGCTTTTGGTCTTGTCAAATGGGGTCGCAAGCTCATCTCCTACTTTCCGTCCAACATGGAATGACTGGAATGCCTCAGCAAATTCACGGTCTGTTATAAAACTGTAAGGTTCATCTTTGCGTGCCCAATACTGCTGCTGATCTTTCTTTGATGTCACCTGTGACAAATTTATTTTTGGTAAGACTAGAAATGAGACTCAAAACACATATAAGATTCATCTGTGATTTTTTTTCCATTTTAAGAAGAAAACAATCATAACAAAACAGAAACGAATTAAGATGGATGAACACTTACTTCTTGCAAGAAGTCAGCTACGCCTTTCCTCTCGGGGCATTTGAAACCCATGGATTCAAAAAACTCGAGCACTTCCTCACGGGGACCTTGATAGACAATGTGGCCAGCAGATAGGAGAATAATGTCATCAAACAGATCATAAGTCTCAGGTGCTGGCTGCAGGAGAGAGATGAGAGCAGTTCCTTTGAGAATGTGAACATATTGCCTGAGTGACTTCACAATTTGGAAAGTTGTCGAACTGTCCAAACCCGTAGAAATCTCATCCATGAAAAGTGCCTTTGCTGGTCCAACCAGCATCTCACCTATATAATGTATTAGTAGGAAATTTTTGTGACATTAAACTCAAAGAAAAATGAAAGTAAATAAAAACTTCTTCGCTGATTTTTTTAAAAAAATTGAGTTGTTTACCAGTTGTAACACGCTTCCTCTGTCCTCCAGAGATACCCCTTAACATTTCATCTCCAACTAGGGTATCTGCACAGACTTCAAGTCCCAAAACCTGTATTTTAAGAGGAAATGAGTTGAATTAATTTTCTGCATGTTATGTAACCTTTAGAATATACACACACACACACACACACACACACACACACATTGTAAAGCATAAAACGGAAGCGAAGAGATAAATAAAACAAGTAAAACACAAAGATATTACGTGGTTCAGCCACTAGGCCTACATCCATGGCACAAAGAGCCCAAAGGGCTACATCACGATTATAATACTCTCTCAATTCATATACAATACAATGGTGGAGACCCTTTATATAGGAAAAGAAATTATGAGAACGGAAAGAATTAGAAAATAGGAAACAAGGAGGATTTTTCTCCACTGATTCCTCTATAACACCAAATCTTCAATAATAGGAAATAACATCAATTACTGAAAGATTTTCCTCCACTAATTTCTCCATTAAATCTTCAAAACTCCGCCTCAAGTTAGAGCATGAATGCCCAACTTGCCATCGAGATGAGGAGTAGCAACAAGTGTGAATGATGAAGAGAGAAGACGAAGAACAATGATACCGAACACACCAGCAGCACAAACAAGTCAAACAAAAATTACCGAAGACACGGCAAAGACGAAGACAATGCTACCGAACACACCGGCAACCCAAAAAGTCAAACAAAAATTGCCGGAGAGACAAACCGGCAGCCAAACAAATCAACACAAACTGCCGGAGACACGGCAAAGGCGAAGAATAGTACTACCGAACACACCGGCAGTCCAAGCAAGTCACAAATAGCACCGAGAAACCCTTAGCAACATTTCAGATGCTAAGGGAATACCCCAAAATAGGATCCGAACCTAGGAAGAGAAATTAGGCTTTGATACCATGTTGTAAAGCATAAAATAGAAGCGAAGAGATAAATAAAACAAGTAAAACACATAGATATTTCGTGGTTCAGCCACTATGGCCTACATCCACGGCACAAAGAGCCCAAAAGGCTACATCACTATTATAATACTCTCTCAATTCATATACAATACAATGGTGGAGACTCCTTTATATAGGAGAAGAAATAATGAGAATGGAAAGAATTAGAAAATAGGAAACAAGGAGGATTTTTCTCCACAGATTCCTCTATAACACCAAATCTTCAATAATAGGAAACAACATCAATTACTGAAAGATTTTCCTCCACTGATTGGTCCATTAAATCTTCAAATATATATATATATATATATATATTGTGGCTATATTACCTTTAGAGTATAATCTGTGACCACACTTGCCTCCTGCCCTTCTGTTGCTGCAGCCTGAATAAGCAGGAAAAAAGTATTATTTTATTTTATTTTTATTTTCTCAATAAGAAAAGCAAGTTTTATAAACTAAACTCTGGCATTGAAGGTTGATTCTAGTTGAGACTAAACTGAACATGTAATTGAAAAAAAAAGAAAAAAAAGAAAAAACAACTACCATGAAGGATGGAATGTAAAATTCACAGAGGGTGGAATCAGGCTGTAGAAACTCCATGTCAAATACTACCTAATATATAAATTAAAACACCCAGGGTTCTACTTGTATAAAAGCAAGTACCAGCATCGCTTACTTTCTTAAGAAATTTTCAAAGTATTCTTACCTTCATGTAGATATCGATATCAGGATCAGGCTTGATATTTGCTGCTTTCTCTCTTCTTGATAACTCGGCTAGCATGTCTGCATTTGTGTTCAAAAAGAATAATCAACACACCTAATCTTGCTAAAAATTGCAAGTCTACATTTAGATGCATAAAAGAAAAAACTGAACAATTTGTTCCCTAACCATATCGATCTCCAACCCCCTGGCATCTAGCAGAGAACGCCAAGGTTTCTCTCACAGTCATTTCTCCTATATGGAGATCATTTTGACTGATATAGGCTGCAGTTCTCTGGGGTACAAACTCATGCATGCCATGCCCATTGTATGTCACCCTTCCAGAAAACTAGTGTTGTTCAAAAGGACAAATGTCAGTTTCACATTGATAGTGATACTAGTAATTAGATGGAACCCAAGAATTGTGCACACATGAAAGAATTAATTGAAGCTGCAGTGATATTTCTTTAATTACCTGTAGTTCAGGATCAAGTTTTCCAGCTAAAGCTAACAACAGTGTGGTCTTTCCGGAACTAGGAGGACCTAAGAGTAATGTCATTCTGCAAAAACCACATTAACTATCAACATCAGAAGTGATTACCCAGACATTTCATGGATAGGGTCGAGCCCGGCTCTCACCTGCACGGCTTGATGATTCCGCTAACATCACGAAGGATAGATAGAGTCCTCTTTCTACTTGGAAGTATATGGAGATAGTTCACAAACCCCTTTTGGACATACAACAAAATTAGAATAAAGAACCACTTGGCAAATACAGAATTGAAAACAATTTAATCAGTAGAACAACAGCTAGTGATCCATGCATATGGCCTATTGTTACCTCCAGTATGTTAGCAATGAAGTTAATGAAAGTGGGCAAAGCTCTGCCTCCTGCATAAGCTTCTGCATCAACTTTTAGATGCTCAAATCTGACTTCAATTGTGGGCAAATCAAGTCCAACTCTGAGAAATCCCATGAAAAAGTAACAAAACTCATTTTTAAAATCCAGAATATTTGCATTTTGTTAATGAGTGACGGAGACAATAATTTAATTTATTTAGGAGCATATTCAACATGATAAAATATTTTTTCCCCCAACTAACATGACAAATAATAGTGCAACTATGCAACAAGACAACAAGCCAAAAATTAGAAGCGCAATAACGTTGCAGATTCAAAAAGTATGTCATAATTTAGAAAAAAGTTGCAATAAAGAAAAATTTAAAAACATAAATCACGGACGGTAAGTATCCATTTGGCAAACGTTTCTATTGTGCATATTCAATTACATATGAAGCAGAAGCAATACTATTTTGTTTAAATATGATTTATTTCGAAATAGAAACATGTTTGCTAACTGTTTGTACACAATGTTTCATTAAAAAAAAAAAATAGTAAATTAAAATGACCTCACAGAAGTTTGCCCTAATTACACATGGCATCAAATTGCTCCATTATAACACATACCCCAAAATTTGGCCAGTCAGAAAAATTGTTGCAGAGACCAAAATGCCTACCAACTAAGAGGAAAAGACGCTACTAACCTTAGATTGCCATCTAATTACAAACAAAAAGTATTATTTTCAGGTACGAAAATACCCTTCACTTTCATAACAATCCCAATAACAAGACCCAACACTTTCATGGTGGCTTCCATGATTCTTTCCTAATCTTCCTCTGGTTACTTAATTACCAAAGTAAAAATTGAAACTTTATGTATTGTATGAAAAATAGATCCACTGCAGATCCCTTCTCTCTTCCTCTCTTATCTCCCTCTCCACCCACCACCACCACCACCACCAAGTGCTAAATTAAGACTAAAAATCAGTCTCTGCAACCAAAATTTCACTCCATACCACTGATAACCTGCCATATACACACACTCTCCCCTCCTAATCTGGGTTTGTGCAAATCTAACATCGTAGTTTCTTCCTTACTAAGCAGACCAATTACCAACACCAAACAATAGCTGCGAAAAGCTCTCGCGGCGACGTGGTCTCCCTAATCTTCATTGTCCACTATTATTTTGACCAACAACAGTTTTAGAGAGAGAGAGAGGAGGCGTGTGTGTGTGGGGTAAAACGAGATGTGTGTACACACACATATATATATCAAAATATGTTGCCTTTCCATGTAAATCGCAATTCAGATATTCAGTTATGAAATTATGTGTTAATTTGTTCAAACCTATGTGGTGGTGTTATGCTTATTTGGGTAATGAAAATTCCAGAAATTTCTCTGTAACATATCAGCAAAAAACAACATGTGCAATAACAAGGGTGAGAGTAATAGACTAATACCAAGTACCTCCCAGACTGTGGAACTTACTGCTAGTTTGTTTACAGTGACATGCATGAAAACCTGCCTCAAATGTCAAAATACAACATTTTTTGTCTTCAAATATATAGAAAAATCAATAAAAGGATAGAGAAGTAACACTGGGTATATTCTGCCCAAATCTAATTGTCGGTAGAGGCAATAATAGGCTTGGAGAGGAGAGAGAGAAAGACGAACAGAGGGGAAGAAATAGAGGAGTTCAATGGTAGTGGAGGTGGAAGACGGTGGGGGTTGGTGGGGGTGGCGGCGATTGATAGTGGATATGAAAGCCAAAGAACTTAAGGAAGAAGAGAGAGGAGAGAGATGGTTGTGGCGGTGGCGGTGGCCATGGTGAGAGGTGGTGGTGGTGGTGGCGGCGGCGGCGGCGGCCATGGCGAGAGGGCAGCGTGGGTAAGGACCGTATTGTGGTGGAGACAACGGGTAATTTCCATACATTCAGATTTTTTTTTTTTTCTTTCTTTTCAGCAATAAAAAATGGGGATAAAATCACTTAACATTTAACTCAAGTTTGCCCCATCGCAGCTAATGCAGTGTATAATAAGGGCAAAAATATAATAGTTACCATATATTGCCTTTTTAAACAGGGTTGAATGCTTTCACACCTGCATATTTAAGTTTATAGCTCTCTAGGATTAAACCTCAGCTAAAATTATTATCACATTCTTATTCAATTTGGTTTAATTTGCTCTGACACGTTATATATTTCAATTATTCTAAACTGTTTTTTATATCATTACTCACCAAAACCTACGATGTTACATGGGTACAAATAAATAAATAAATAAATAATACATATTTAAGAAGTGAGCCAGGTGGTGTAATAACATGTGAGGAGTATAAAAGTCAAAGCAAATTAAGGGTAAAAATATACTTAAAATAATGGAGACCAAACGCTAATTTAAGCATCTTTAAAAAAAGTGTCAGAGCAAATTAAATTAAAGAGTGTCAGAGCAAATTAAATTAAAGATGATGGGTGCGATAGTAATTTTGGCTGAAGTTTAATTTAAGAGCAATAAATTAAAATCAGTAAAGTATCAGAGCATTTAACCCTTTTAAATAAATTTTTCTTATGATTATTTAACTACAATAACAAAAACAAGTGAAAACATGGTAACTATTTTTTTCCCTTAGTTCATTTATGTTTCTCAGTAACAAAAACACAACAAATATAGTTGTCAAACAAACTCTAAGTTTCTAAAATTGTAGTAATAATAAATGTAATGGACAAGAATACGTACAAAAAAAGAAAAAAAAAAAAAAACACAAAAAACACAGAAAAGACATACATCATGCATGACCCACTAAGAAGATATTTTAATAAGAGAAAAAGAAGAACAAAGAAAAATATCAAAAAGAAGACAAAAATGATGAAAAGATAAATGGAAAAAAAAAAATATTAATTAATTAAAATGAGGAGAAATCTTACGTATCAATTCGATTCTTGAGCTTCAACAAGAACTTCTCATTATCTTCGTCTGCAATTTTGATCAACCTCTCCAACAAATGCTTCCTTTCATTAAGTCCGAGATCGTTAATATCGACTTCATTGGCTGCACCTTGTGAACCCAATAGAAGTCCTTTCTTCAACCGATTGTAAGTGGGAAGTTTCTCGATGGCAGCCCATTTCAAAGCTTCTTCATCATCTTCTTCGCGCGAAGATCGCGAGAAAACTTCCACAGTACTGTTCCTCCATACTGACGAACTGTTTGCTCTCAAGCTTCCTCTCAAGCTATTGCTTGCTTTATAAATGTCACCACCATCCATCGGGACACAAATCCGACTCACAACACAAAATCAACAAATTTCCTTCAAGATTTAAGAGCCAAGACAAGTGAATTTCTACAAAAATTCAGATTTGGGTTTTTCTTTTTCTTCTCTCAGAAAAGAGAGAAGCTGATATATGTTTCTCTCTTGTGCATGTACCAAAGCTATATCTTATCCTTTTGTTAGACACTACTTCCAGTTTTTTTTTTGGCTACCTCAAAGACAAATTATATAGTATATATATATATATAGAGAGAGAGAGAGAGAGAGAGAGATGGGATACAGATGAAGAGAGGATTGGGTTTTTAATGCTTTTAGTGCCGGGCAAGTTGCATAATTAGAATAGACTCCCTTAAATGTCTCTACACTATTGGACTTGGAATTGGCAACCTTTTTTTGACACTTTGAAATTTCTTTGCAGCCTCCCGAAATTTTTGTTTACTAAGGCAATAATGGGCTTGAATTCAACACCCATCTTCTTTTTTTGTTATATAGTGTGATATGATTAAATTGCCCACATCCCATATTATATGACTATAATACTATATGGTTTGGTGTGACAAAAAATTTCCACTTCCCAACCGTCTTATATGGAGTACTGGAAGTTCGAGACTTCAATATGGTAATATATATATATATATATATGGTCAGAAGACTCAGAGCATAGGTCTCTTACACACGCGTAATCCCTGTACCTTGATCGGATCAAATAAGAAAAAAATACTTTAGATGATCGAGGAGATTCTTTCTCATTAGATTATCACCTTAAAATTTAGAATACAAAGTAAGAAACTTATATCTTATCTAATATTATTCCTAAGATGAGGTTGAGAATAGTAATAAAATTGTCCAAGTATGTTGCATCCTGAGTGTGGTGTGTGTAACTTGGAATACTTAAATTGACCTAATTCAGTTCAATTTAATTTTTTTTTTTTTTTTTTTATCTTAAATCATGTTATGTCTACATGTATTTTACTTTATTTTAAATTGATTTTTTTAAATATTTTCAATGTGTACCAAATATCAAAAATAAAAATAAAAAAAATTTATTGGATCAAGTTAGCCAGTAATCTTCCAAGTACTTATTATTCCTTCGGTTTCAAAATAAGTGTATAACTTTTTAAGACAATAATTTTTATTATTTTGTTGCATTAGTATATTACTAAATTTATTTTTAGTTGGTCCATACTGATGTAATGTTTTACTTCTTATAAGTTTAGTAATGTTATAAAAATAATAATATATTATCTTATCAAATGAAACACTTATTTTGAGATAAAAAAAAAAACAGACAATTATTTTTAAACTTTTCACTTTCTGCTTTAAAATAACAGAAGGTACCAACTTGTAAAATAATACAAAACATCTGATGGGTGGGAATGGAATTAATAAACTTTAAAAGGGTTCACATTATGGAAACTCAACCCGAAGTATCTTCTTCATGGACCGGGTCAGATATTTTATTTTTTATTATATAGTGTGATATGACTAAATTGCCCACATCCCATAGTATATGACTATATGGTATGGTATGACAAAAAATTTCCACTTTCCAACTGTCTTATACGGTGTTACTAGAAGGTCGAGACGTTAATATGGTAATATATATATATATATATTTATATTTATATATATAGTCAGAAGACTCAGAGCATAGGTCTCTTCTATATATACACACGTAATCCCTCTATCATGATCGGGTCAAATAAGAAAAATAACCTGAGATGATCGAGGCGGTTCTTTCTCATTAGATTATCACCTTAAAATTTAGAATAGAAGTACATGAATATAAGAAACTTATATCTTATCTAATATTATTTCTAAGATGCGGTTGAAAATCTAGTAATAAAATTGTCCAAGTATGTTGCAACCTGAGTATGGTGTGTGTGACTTGGAATACTTAAATTGACCTAATTCAGTTCAATTTAAATTTTTTTTTTTTTTATCTTAAATCATGTTATGTCTACCTGTATTTTACTTTATTTTAAAATGCTTTTTGTTATAGATATTTTCAATGTGTACCAAATAACAAAAATAAAAATAAAAAAAGTTTATTGTGTTAAGTTAGACGGTAACCGTCTAATTACTTATTATTCCTTCCGTTTCAAAATAAATGTATAATTTTTTTGATTGAAATTGATGCTGAGGTGTGGAGTCGTCGATAGCATGTTTGTAGCCTAGGGGGGCCCGAAGGAGACCTACCTAAGGGAGTTTCTGGTGTCAACCAAACAAAAAAATAAATAAATAAGTGTGTAACTTTTTAAGACAATAATTTTTATTATTTTATTGCATTAGTAAATTACTAAATTTATTTTTAGTTGGTCCATACTGATGTAATGTTTTACTTTTTATAAGTTTAGTAATATTATAAAAATAATAATAGATTAACTTATCAAATGGAACACTTATTTTGTAATAAATAAAAATAAAAAAAATAAACAATTATTTTGAAACTTTTTTTAAACTTTCACTTTCTGCTTTAAAATAACAGAAGCTACCAGAAGGTCTCAAACTTTTTTGGATGACCAAAGTTGTTCCATCTGAATGGAAGAAGAGCCGGCACAAAACCAACTTGTAATCAAGGATAAATATTTCTAGAAACATACCCAAAAAAAAAAAGTAAAATAATATAAAATATCTGATGGGTGGGAATGGAATTAATAAACTTTAAAAGGGTTCACATTATGGAAACTCAACCCGAAGTATCTTCTTCATGGACCGGGTCAGATATTTTTTTTGGTACGTGCTTAATTAAATTAAATTATTAAAGTCGTTTTTGTGAAGGTAAATGCAGTACAAATTTCTGTCAACATCATGCAATGCTTCGTAAATGACTAGTCTTTTCAGATAATATATAAAAATTGATTCGCTACTTTTTCAAATCTCCACCATTCTGGCGTTAGCAGAATGATGGCTTTATAGTTTTTTATTCTTTTGGCCGCCTTTGACCAATCATTTTTTCTGAATAATTGGCTGAATTTTACCAAATTAGTTATTAAATAAAATAAAATAAAAAAGAGAGAAAGATAACATAAATCTGAATTTGGCCATATATTTCAAATATAAAACTCTTTTTTGATTTTCTATGATGAGCGGTCGGGCACATGCAGGCTTATATATGGTCCTATTGAGTATTGACATTCAAATAGATATTACTTGTTGTAAGTCTTCGTTATTTAACAATTCTTTCTCTAAAGTCATTTTATATTTTAAATATTTCCAATTTGCGTTCAAATGTCTAATGTTAAAATTTTATTTTCTGAAAGAAGATAAGGAATCCGACCTTTAATGTTCGAAAAGGAAATTGAATTACGTATCCATTCCATACTTCCAATATTTACATGAATTTTTGTCGAAAGAAAAATTATGAAGTTTTCTAATTTCAAAATAAAAGTTGTGCGAATATATGAGTGGAGCCTATATTAGTCTCTTTTTATCAGTTGTCACAATTCGACAAATGTTCACAGACAGTTTGAGAGGCAAACGACTTTTATATTTTTTACTTTATTTGAAATATGATTAAAATAATTTTCTTTGAATAAAATTACTCCTTTCGTTTCAAAATATTTAAAATATAACAAAAACAATTATTTTGAGACGAAGTTGTGAATTATGGATTTCAAAATACTTAATTATTTTGAGATGGGTGGAATAGTTTTTACTTACTAGTAATTATTTTTTCATTTCTTTTGTAAACTTCTAGACGAGGGAGATGGAACGGAGGATTAGGTTCCAAAGGTGAATAAGAAACTTAAAAAAAAGGGCCGTGGTCTTCATCTCGTGGGAGAAAAAGGATTCATTAATTGACAGCAAAGAGAAAACGAAACAAACAAGCAATAGAAAAGTCATGGCAACTGACGTCATCAATGACAACATGAGAAATAAACCCTAAAGTGGGACTGACTATTCTTCATTCCTCATTGGTTGTCTATCAAATTACTTGACTAGACTACATGACCCATTATTTAATTTTAGTTGGAATTCTCATGTCTTTTACAAATATATTTTTTATTTTAGTTTATTTTATTCAACTTTTACAAATAAAAAAATATAAAAAAAACTCTTGCAATGCTTTATTTCTTCTCAAAAGAAGAAAAAAAAAAAAATACCATCACGCCCCATAATTTTTATATTAACAAATAAAGAGGGGTTTGTCAGCCCCCCCCGGGGCGATATTATATACCTATTATTTTCCTTTTTTGAATTATATACTTTTAAAATTGTCCCATTAAAAATAAAAAATAAAACTATAGCCCCCAATACATTATATACCTATTAAATTTTATTTTATTTTATTTTGTTAAAGCTACCCTTACATAATTTTTTGAATTCATACTTTTAAATGGAAACACAACAACTAATGATTCGACATCTAAGTAAATAAAAACGTTTTTAATTTTTTTTTCAAAATCACCTTTTTCAAATGAAATCCGGCGATTCTGGTAATCCAATATAAGGGGAAGTGGGCTAATCACATGATGAACAGTGCCTGGAATATGTCATGATGTTCTTTGAAATACCTAGAAAAAGGAATATATGAATTTAAAAAGAAGTGAGAATTAAACAATTAAAGACAGCTTCAACTACTCCCAGAAGATAATGCTCGACTTTTTTCCTTGGTTTATGTAACCAACCCCATACAATTCCAAGTCGCTCTGTAATAGAGAGAAGAAAAATAAACCATCTACTTCTTGACTATCTATCACTAAGTCTAACTTTTGACAAAGACCAAGCTAGGTGATATAAGTGTACTGCCCCAGATTGATGAAAAGTAATCGGTTATTATTTAATAATTTAAATTTGTTTTTTTTTTTTTTTTGATAAATGAATAAGTGTTTATGTGTTACATTTGATATTAGAGTTAGACTCAGTTCTTGATTCGGTGTCATGTCAAGCGTTCGACTCGGAGGCGTCCGGATGAGCCTACCCGGATAGACAGGATGGTCCAATCGCAAACAAGAACGTTGTGAGTTGGAGTGGAAGAGAATGTTACAAGGGGTATTTGTTCCACGTTACATTCGGATAAAAAAGTGAAAATTTTTGAGTAAATAAACAAGCGTCCATCTGTTACTATAGGCCATGAAAAATATGAAAAGAATAAAACTTCCTTGCAGAGTATCAATCATTGCACAAATAATATAAATTTTTTTTTGCCAGTAACGGTAACAGAGCTCAAATATTAACATCCAACGTCAAATTTGCTGGGTCATAACCATCTTTGTTTGATTTTACTCACTACTCGGTCCTTTCAATTCCCTTGTAGCTGTATTACATATTCATGTTCTGCTATCTGTCATGGGCAATAAGTTCAAAGATTTGTGTGTTTATTTTGATAGCAT